TAACTTTGGTTTTGAGATAATATCAGAATCACAGAAAAGGTGTAAGAATAGTACAAAGGAATGCTTGTATACCTTTCACCTATATTCACCAAAATTATATTTTTCCATTTTTGGTATCTCTTGTGTACACACGCACTCTTTCCTGTCTCTCTGTATACATGTATGTATATATAAAGTTTTTCAGAACCTTTTGCAAATACGTTGTCTCTCTTTATCCCCAAATAATTTGGTGTGTATTTGCTAAAACAAGGGCACCCCTCATTAGAACCACGAATAATTGCCAAATGAGAAGAAATTAACATTCGTATAGCAGTAAGATCTTTCATCATATGTTCACGGTTATTCCAGCAGTGCCCTTTATAAGCTGAAGGGAAGTCCAGATTATGTATTACCATTCCTCTGCCAAGTTCCTTCGCCGCCTCTGTCTGGTTTCGTGACATTGACGCTTAGGACGGTGCAGACCAGTTACTTTGCAGAGGGTTCCGGGTCTGGCATGTCTGCTTCTCCCCTGGGATCGGGTGGGCTTCCTTAGCAGGAGCCCTTGGAATGGTGGCATGATTTTCGGTGGGTCGTATTAGGAGGCGCACAGTGTCAGTTTGTGTCATTAGTGATGTTTAATTTGGATCCCTTGAGTGAGAATTCCCCACTGTAAATTAATTACATTTTCCACCATTTTACTTTATAAGTATCAATGTGGGGAGATACTTTGAGACTATGTAACTATCCTGTTGTTACTCACATTTTGCCCAATAATTTTGGCATCCATTAATAACTCTTGCCTGAAACAACCATTGTAATAACAGTTGCTAAATGGGACTTTCTAATTCTGTTATTCCTCTCTGCATGTTATTACTGGCAGCTATTGTGGAGGACAGTTTTCTTCTCCTCCCATTTAATTAATTAATTCATTTTCATATATGTATGTGTATCAGTGGAGATTCATAGATTATTGTATTAATCAATGATTATAATCCTTTATTATCATGATTTATTTTGATCAACTTATCACAGATTTGGCCAGTAGGGAGGCCCTTTGAGCTGGTCTTGTGTCCTTTGCTGTGTCCCTGTAATTAGAGATTGTGGGTCCCCATCATACTTGGATTACTTTCCTCACGTTGTGGCCCACGAGGCTCCAGGCTCAACTTGCGCCTTTCCCTGCCCTAGACCTGGAGCGAGCACTGGCGTTTCTCCAGAGCACCCTGGCTCCTCCTAGTGGGGAGTATGGCATTTAGACACTGTGCTCTGGGTGCTTGGTGTATTCACTTCCATGGGGGCCACCGCTTCTGGATCTTTTCAGCACACAAACCCAAGAAACAGATATGTGTGTGTACATATGATATACATGCATGTATCATGCATGTTTATATGTTATACATATGACATATACTTCAAGTGTAAATACACATGTGCATACACATATATACATACAGATACGCACAAACATCTATCTCTATTCTTTATCTATATATTAAAAACCATGTGATCATAACTAACACCTCCATTTCCAGTCCGATACCACAGGATTGTTTTTAAAAACCCTATGAGGAAATTTCTCATACAATGAACTATGAAGAAAACAATTAGTAACTCTAGTGTAGTAATATCATGACATCTAGATATTAATTGTATTAAAATACTTTTTAAATGCTTTGATGAAATTGTTATAGTTACATAGGTACAGAATTAAATATGGATTCACTCTTGATATAGGATTTTGTTTTTTTTTTGTTTTTTTTTTTGAGACAAGAGTCTCGCTTTGTTGCCCCAGGCTAGAGTGAGGTGCCGTGGCATCAGCCTAGCTCACAGCAACCTCAAACTCTGGGCTCGAGTGATCCTTCTCGCCTCAGCCTCCCGGGTAGCTGGGACTACAGGCATGCGCCACCATACCGGCTAATTTTTTTTATATATACTATCAGTTGGCCAATTAATTTCTTTCTATTTATAGTAGAGACGGGGTCTCGCTCTTGCTCAGGCTGGTTTTGAACTCCTGACCTTGAGCAATCCGCCCGCCTCGCCTCCCAAGAGCTAGGATTACCAGGCGTGAGCCACAGCGCCCGGCTGATATAGATTTTGTTTGGGGAAGGACAAAAGACCTATGAAGAGCACATATTTGTGATTTATTTTAATCCAAGTATTCAAATCAGTTTGCCTTAATTGGGCAAACATTGGTTACATCCTTACTCTGGGCAAGGCACAGAACTGGAATCCCTTCATTTCACCCTAATGGCCTCATTTGGTACTGGTTAGGAATGATTTGCATGTGGAAATTATCACTAGCCAATTTTATCAACATACAAAAAAATAGCTTCTTATTGGTAATGGCTCTTCCTCTAGAGAGGCTTTTATGTGTGACGTGGAATATTTTTTTTTTTTTTTGAGACAGAGTCTCGCTTGTTGCCCAGGCTATAGTGAGTGCCGTGGTGGTCACCTCGTCACAGCAACCTCAAACTCCTGGCGTCAGCTCCCGAGTACTGGGACTACAGGCATGCGCCACCATGCCCAGCTAATTTATAATATATATATATTAGTTGGCCGATTAATTTCTTTCTATTTTTATCACGCCTCCTTTTTATAGTAGAGACAGGGTCTCGCTCAGGCTGGTTTTGAACTCCTGACCTTGAGCAATCCACCCGCCTCGGCCTCCCAGAGTGCTAGGATTACAAGCGTGAGCCACCTCGCCCGGCCAATTTATTTATATGCTTATTAGTGTTCAACCTGTCAAGGTTATAGTTCTAAAACCTAATTTTTTTTGTGCCTGTAAACTCAATTTACAGATCTATCTTAAAAAAATTAGAAACTTTTATAAAAAGTAAAATTTATTTTTTCTTCTACATTCAATTAACTCATAAATTTGATAGCTTAAGTTTCCCATAAACTTTAACCATTATTTGCACATTTGATTAATTAAATTTATTTAAATATTTCCAATACCATTAAAAATATGACTGATTTTCTAAATCACTTAGTAAGGATGGCTTAAAAATTCAATGAACATAATCTTTTAAAAAATTTTTTATTGTTTTAAATTCAATTCCAATAAATTAGGAGATTATTTAATATTCCCTAAATATTTATTTATTTATTTATTTATTTATTTATTTATTTATTTATTTATTTATTTATTTTTGAGACAGAGTCTTACTCTGTCACCTGGGCTAGAGTGCGGTGGCATCAGCCTAGCTCACAGCAACCTCAAACTCCAGGGCTCAAGCGTCCAGGGCTCCCGAGTGGCTGGGACTACAGGTGCACACCACAACACCCTGCTAAATTTTTTCTGGTTTTAGTTGCGTGGCTAATTTTTTTTTTTTTTCTATTTTCAGTAGTGACAGAGTCTCACTCTTGCTGTTGCTCAGGCTGGTCTTGAATTCCTGATGGTAAATGATCCTCCTGCCTTGGCTTCTCAGAGTGCTAGGATTACAGATGTGAGCCACCAAGGCTAGCCTCAGTGAACATAATTTTAAAGATATATTGCAGACTTGCAAATTAAGCAGATCAAATTGGAGGGAATTTCAAACATTTTAAGGAGTGGTGTGCACAAAAACATTGTTACACCTATAGAAATGCAATTGATATACAAGCAAGTTAATTTTTTATACCCCCTAATCAAGAGAAAGAAAATTACCATTTCAGGCCTATTTAGGGGCTACTGGTTAAAAAAGTTTAGGTTAACAAAGTTTAGACCAATGAGGGCCTACACTTTGACTGTGTTTCCAAGGCAGGCCAGCAACAGTTGGAATGTACTCCTTTTTATGGCCAGATTTTGTTGCCAAATTAATGAGTCTTTCTAAACAACTTTCTTTTGCTGGGATGTAATTAATCCCATTGATTTTCATGTCTTGCTCCCTACTGCCTTCCACCAAAATAATTGGAAGGCGTTTTAGGACCTCAGATTTTCATTACCTTCGGTATAATCATATGCAACTTCCTGCATTAAGGCCTAGTACGAATGCTATGTTAACCCCATTACTCAGGCAATGACTGCATCTTCTTTCTCATTTTTTCTTATGTGCTTCATGTTTTATTGATTTCCTATTATATGGTCTCTTTATTGACACATTTATAAAAATTTTTATCTCTAGTTAAAAGATAAAGCTCTTTATCTTTAGTTAAATAAAATCTACTTTTTTCCCCCCACTTCAACAGGCATCTTCCTCTGAAGACATGGGCAGGTGGATTGGGATCTTACTGGCTGAGACAGGGTCATCCACAGACCCAGGAGCTCTGCACTATGACTACATAGATGTGGAGATGTCTGCAAATGTCATCCAGACAGCCAAGCAGACCTTCTGGTAAGATCCATAGCTGTGTGAATGGCACCAAAGTTGAATATCTTTCCCTTAATTTTTTAACTTAGTTTTTGTGTGAGTGTATAGTCTCAGAAAAAAAACTAACAACTCTTTTGCATTATATTAGTCCAAATTTTGCTGAAATGTTTTTGTCATGTCTGTCCCCTGGGTTTTCTGTTAGAGGCACACTTATATAAAGGACCAGGGCCAGACGTTCCGTTATAACCACTTGGTTCTGCCACTGGAGCCAGAGACAGTACGTACACTAAGGAATGTGGCTGCGCTCCCGTGCAACTCTACTTGCAAAGACCGGCAGTGGACCAGATTTGGCCTGTATTTTGCCTACCCTGTATTAGAGGAGCAGTTCTGTGATGAAGAAATGATTCTATGTGTTACTATAATGAGGACTGAGTTTCCAAAGTCCCCAATCAAGTACTTTGTAAATTTAAATTGTCATTTTTAAAAAATGCTCTTATGTTTAAAACATCCTTTTGAACCATGAATAATTTCTTTAACATAATGGTGGCAAAGATATTTATAGCAGTGGTTCTCAGTGTGGTCCACAGACCCTTGTGGGTATTCAAGACTCTTTCAGGCAGTCTGCAAGGTCAAAATAATTTTCATAATAATACTAAGACATTTTCCTTTTTCACTGTTATGACATTTGTGTTAGTGATAATCACTGGCACCTTAACACAAACAGTAGTCCCACCACATGGTATTATTAATAGTAATTATGTTTACCATGGCTACACATTTGCAACATTAAAAGAAAATGCTGGTCTCACTTAAGAGGTCCTTGATGAAGCAGTAAAAATTACTACTTTTTCTGTAAAAGGCACACTAGTAAATATTTTTCTTAAATCTCTGAAATATGGGTCTTTTTAACATTCTGTGTGGCCACAGAAAGTATGCATGTTTGCAGAATGATAATGGGTGTCTTAGGGGAAAGCTCGCATATAATTGAGTTGCTAATAGAACTGGCTGCCTTTTTAAATATTTTTTTTTAATTTTTACTTGAAGAAACAACTGACAGACAAACTATAATTATTCACATTTATATATTTATAGACATTTTCTTGAAAATGAACTAACTATACCCCTCATCTCTAGGCAAACAGCTGGCAATATATGTTGCCTGTGATATATTTGAGCTTTCACTCAGCAATTAGAATTTTGGAAAATTTATGTCCACCACTGTGAGCTTGCCAGCTTCCCAACACCTACAGACTCTTTGAGATCTGTGGTAATATTAAGAGTGATTTTTTAAAATATTGTGCAATGAAATGTGTCAACCTTTGAAAGATCTACATAAGGGTACATCTGCATGAGTAAAAGGTCCATTCCAAGTGCAGGATAAACTGATGGATTTTAATGTAAGTTCATTGATGTGATTTCACATTCCACATTGCAACTAATCATTAAAAAACTACCATTTGCTGACTTTTGGTGTAGTATCAAAGAATATCTACAGCTTTCTGAAAAAGCTATTAAAATATGCCTCACTTTTCCAGCTACTCACCTGTGTGAGGCTGGATTTTCTTCATGTGCTGTAGTCAGAGGAGCAGAAGCCGGTGTGAGGGTCCATTCACCTTCTATCCAGCTGCACACTAATTAGGTTTACAAACATGTAAAACAGTGCCACTTTTCTTACTGCTAATAATGGTTTTTTTATTGTGGAAAATATAGTTTTCACAAAAATATTTATGTTGAAATATGGGTTCATTACTCTTATTTTTAAGTGAATAAAAATGAATAAATGTCTCATGTTTAATTTCAAATACAAAAGATAGTAGATAGCAAATCTTGGTTCAGGTCCTGCTATGGTATTTACTAATTGAAAAAGTTAGACAAGTCATTCGTAACTTGTTAGTGCCTCTGCTTCTTTGTGTAGAAAATACATTAGGAGAAATGATGTCTGAAATTTCTTCTGGCTCTAATATCTTTGATTCCTTGAGTCCTGCTCATATTCCTGTCATCCTTAGTTTAGATTTGAGGCTGGGGAGGAGGGGTATTGAAACAAAACATACAGCAGGAATGGTTGGTGTATTTGTCCATACCAGCAGACCCACGAGCACTGGCTAAGACTACAGAACCTTTCAAATATGAGAGGCTAAATTGAAATGTTTATGCTGTAATTTGCCTGTCTAATATGAACACCACCATCTAATTTTCCTCACAAGTGGTGTTTATGTGGAATTGGAGTAGTCTTTGTTTGTGTCTTGAATGGTGAATGAACATCTATTTAATACTTGGCTAGGACATTTTGGGGCTAAAAAATAGTTTTTCTCAAGGTAAAGATAACTCTGGCCCATAGTAGGAATCAAGCCACCATATTACACCCAACTAAGGTCAATAGCCTTTACAAAATGAATTAGTCTTTTACACATTTTACAGAAAATGCCCAGTAATGCTAGAGGTTTTCTATAGTACAAGTTAACTATTCTCACCACTCTTCTTTTGTATGGAAATCAGGATAGATGTCGCCAAGTACTTATTGTTCTTTTTAGCCCCATTATTGTTTAATAACATTATTTCTAATCAGCAAAATCTGGGTAAATTACAATAATTCTCCTATTTATTAAGTGCAATGCAGAAAAAAAACACATTTAAAGTAGCTTTTTAAGAAATATAATATCTGTTAATCTATTTTTACAAAATCTGTACAACTAGATTGACATAAAAGTGCTTATGGTTGTTTGGAAGTTATTAGATTTACAAAAAAGCTTATCCTAATTCCACATGTAATTTCAGCTGTAATCAGCAAATTGGTAACCACATTTAAGACAAACCCCAAATTAAAATATTTCCCCTAGAACACAATTTTGCCTTTACTTTTATAAATGAGCATAATATTAATCTAAACCAAATATGGGGGTGTCATATTTTTGAGAAAGGAATATAGATAATAGTATTGAAAAATCATTCATTAAAAATATGCATGTGATGAATTTATGGCTGCAAGAATTTTTTCTGCCTCATTAAAATCTTTATAGGATATGTCAGTAATAAAACTTATTTTCATTTTTAAGTTTTCTAGCCAAACATTGCTTTAAAACTTGAGAGATGAGATTTAACAAGGAAACAATGTTCAAAATATGGTACCTTGCCAGTGTGATAAATATTCTAAGATTAAATTAAGTTTTTTTTGCTTTTATATAAATTTGTAGCCAGTTAATGACTCTTTTCAAGGTTAATAGGAGAATTACCTGTGCATTGTATATGTCTGAGGTAGAAAGGGCAAGAATATATTTTGGAAAGAGGAAAATAAAATAAAAAATAGTAATATAGACTCTCCAGGAAAAGTGGTTTATTTAGGAACTTTAGTAACGGTAAACAATTGGAACATATTTTCCTGAAAGCCTGTTTTTAAATTAGATATATAGATTATAGCATACAGGAAAAATATCACACAGTTTTCTCATGAAACTATTTTTGAGTCGCACTCAGTTGGTGACCGACCGTCAGCTGCGGAGAGGATGGTGGTGGTAAGCTGGTGGCTCCTGTGGCCACGTGCAGGGACAGACACCTGACAGGGAGCACGCTTCCCAGCCATCTTCTCATCCAAATTCCTGGGAGATTATTTTAAAACATATTTTCTATGATTTTCTTATGTTTCTGGTTTAACGAGTAGGGCATGCCTCTTACCTCATTTCCACTCTCATATTCTGCTGAAAGTCAGACTGCGGCAAGAGCGCCAAGCCAAGGGCAGGAGGCCCAACTTTTGGTCTCAGCCTCACCCCACTCTGGGCCTGGGAGAATTGTTTTACTCATGGGGCCCAGGTCCCTCTCTGCAAGGTGAGGGCTGACTAGCTGCTGGGTAAGACCTCTTCCACCTGGGACATTCTGAGCACCTGTGACCTCCAATTCTACACTCCCTGAGTCCTCTCAAGTGAAACCATGAGAAGCTTCCTGAGGTGTCTCTTCCCCGAGAAGAAACAGGACTGCACCCTTAGGGCCTCTGTCCCGACCCCATCCTTTCCGCTGTGTCCTGGCATCTGCGTGTCAGGGCAAATGCTAGGCACAGGGCTAGAAACCGACACTACAGACCAAGTGTGAGACTGTCCTTGCTGCTAGGAGAAAGATATGTGGACAAGCTTGGGGTGCTGAGTAGCAGGTGTGTGCTTGCGCCAGCGGGCACGTGGGAAGGAGTGTCCACGAGGCTGGGCTCTATTTGTTCATCTGTTTACTGCCTCTTACTGTCAGAAAGTGTACATGGTTACTCAAACCCCTCAAACAAGACGTTTAAGTTAGAAAACCTTAAATATTTGATTTTTAAAAACATCGAAATTTGTCATTGCAGAATCCTCAAGTGTTTTACGTTTTGCTGTACCTTGCCTTCATGTGTATTTCCTCTTCCTATGCTGTTTCTTTTCCTACATATATTATACTTTTATGTATTTTTTTTTTTTTTGAGACAGAGTCTCGCTTTGTTATCCAGGCTAGAGTGAGTGCCGTGGCGTCAGCCTGGCTCACAGCAACCTCAAACTCCTGGGCTCAAGCAATCCTCCTGCCTCAGCCTCCCACGTAGCTGGGACTACAGGCATGTGCCACCATGCCCGGCTAATTTTTTATATATATATCAGTTGGCCAATTAATTTCTTTCTATTTATAGTAGAGACGGGGTCTCGCTCTTGCTCAGGCTGGTTTTGAACTCCTGACCTTGAGCAATCCGCCCGCCTCGGCCTCCCAAGAGCTAGGATTACAGGCGTGAGCCACAGCGCCCGGCCTTATGTATTTTAAGTATAAAATAATTACATTAATTTTTTGTAAGCAAAGGAAGAAGAGTTACTTTATAAATTAAGAAGAGTCAGCGTGTTTAAGGGAGAGAGGTCATCCCCTGCCTGCCAGAGGTTTTTATGGAAAGTTCCAACCTTGTAGTCACATGGTTGGTTCTTCTGGCAACTCTGGATTTTCCAGAAGTCATCTCATTTGTATAACCTTTGGTGTGGTTGAAAGGGGCTCATTATGAATCAACAAAAGATGATCTTTAATGTTTAAGCCTTTGTCATTTAGGAGATTCCAAGTGTGTTAGGAGCTCTGGCCAGGAACTCAGGACAAAGACCAAAATAGGCATTTCTTATTACATCACGATATCACACTCTCTAAAGGATTTCTCTGGCCAATGTCAGCAGCTCTGTCCAAAGTCAAGGAGCGTTCAGAGAAGAGGCCAAGATGAGTGGTACCAAGGTGGCCACAATGCTACGTGAACCTCAGAACTCCATAGATACTTGTTGAATGAATGTTCTGAAGAGCTTGTAGGACAGAGATCCATGAAGTTTCCCCCAAAAAGCCAAGCAGTACATGTTTCAGCTTTGCAAGCCATATGGTCCTCTTGAGAGTTAGCAAATTCATGAAAGAGGCACGTGTTCCAATAAAACAGGCTGTAAGCAGAGCTGGCCACTGTTAGAGACTGGTGATAACCCAAATCATTGGTTTATATTGAGTACTTGTTATTTGCAGGCATTGCTTTATGCACCTAGCAAACAGTATCACCAGTGCTTGTCACGGTGCTGCAGGGTGCCTGCACTCTCATTTCATAGTGAGGCTCTGTTCAGTCTCTCCAGTGGACTTCCCATTTCTGCCCAGGTGCTAACACTTCTTCTCTGCTCCCATGGCCTCTGACACAGCCTTGGGTGAAAAGTCAGAACTAATTTAAGACTTGTTGATTGACTGGAGGAGAAAATAGCCAGGGTATGGATTTTAATGTATGTCGTTTCTTTCAGCTTCATGAACAGGCGTGTCATATCTACCAACCCATACCTAGGGGGCACCGCCAATGGCTACGCCCACCCCAGCGGGACAGCACTGCATTACGACGACGTCCCCTGTATCAATGGCTCGGTGAGTGTGCCGTTTCTCTTGAGTAAATGTGGTTTTGTTAGAAGGTAAGACTATCTGAAAAATTCTATACTTTATATCCTGGTTTCAGTCTGAATGAGATAAAACTCTTTTTAAATGCTTTGAAGCAAGAAGAGAACTCCGTCTCCTTTCTTGCCTCCTAGTTTCTGACATGCTATTCATCTTCATTGATGGCTTGAAGGTGCTCTTCATCTTAATTTGCATTTGAACAAATGTGTAATTTGACCAGTACACAGTTTGTCATTTAATGTCAATGCTATTAATTAAACATTTCAGCACACTTTAAAATATTGACTAAAGGATGGCATATTAAAGTGACGAATACTTGGATCACTTGGATAAATCAAAGTATAACACAGTATAAGTTATCGATGAATAGTTAATTTTCTGGCATGATAAACGTGCTGAGAAGTCACCATCAGGAAGGAGTAGTTGCTGTGGAGTAATGACCATGTTTCAAGCTCTAGACGACTTTCTTCATGGTCTATTTGGAATAACTGGGGCTCTTGACTGCCAACTTGGCACTTTATATATCTGTATGTAAATATTGGAGATGATTAGTGGCAGCTGTTTGTATTAAGCTAATCTCCAGGGTCTGTCTGGCCCTAGGAGTTTTTTAATTTGTTCTCAGTATTTTGTGTCTCACGTATAATTAGTAGGCTTCATCAATAAATGTTTTTTCTGTGATGTGTCCACATTATTCATCTAACAACCACCTACTGAGCAGCCTTTGTGCACTAGGGCTGTGCCCAGCTCTGGGCCTTCAGAGATGAGGCCTGCACAGGTTAGCAGACAGGTGAGAGAGGCATGGCCTTTGTCTCCCAGTATTGGGTGGGTGTAAAATTGGCACCTATGTTAAGATATTTTTCAAAGGTAGGCACAGAGTGTGTTTATTGTTATTTTTTTTTCAGCTTTTGAAGATATTTTAGACTTTTTCTTTGCTCCAGTATTTAGATGGATGTCATCAGTTAGCTCCCAGCATCACAAAACCACACCTGCCCACGGCAGGAGCCAGGAGGCAGCTGCTTGCTGAGGGAAGTGAGGGCTCAAGGACCCCAGAGCTCAGGGGTATAAACAAACTGGAAGGGAGGTTTTGGCAGTCCAGGCCAGAGGTGGCTGGCCGCGCATCCAGAGCTAGAAGGGATGCAGTGCATCTGGGGCTGGGGTACTGTTCCCTGGGCCTCCTCCTTACATATGCTCCCTCCTGCCCCTCTAGACCCGCCCTGGGTTCCTATGGGGGTGCCCGCCTGTCTATGCCTCTCACTTGGTTCTGAAAAAGGGCTTCCTCCTCCTCACTGGCTTCCTTCCTCCTTACCCTCCTCTCCCTTGCCTTACTTGTTGGTGTCTCCTAGGGGCCAGGCTCCGTGCTAGGAATTGGAAATGACACGGGTAAGATGTAGTCTGTGTTCCTCCAGGGTCCCCCAGTCTAGTGGGAGTGAGACCAGCGATAAGAGGAGAGCTGCCCGGGGTTCTGTGCAGGGCAGGGTCGACCGTGGGTCCCATGTGGGGACATGCGTCAGGGTGTAGCCGGGCGAGGCAGATTTTAAGCCCCACCCTAGATGCAGAGTCTATCCAGTCAATCCCCCCATTGGGTTTTAGATCCAGTCAGTCCCCTCCTTGTCCCCCACCCAGGTCCCCAGCATTTGAGGAGCTGCTGTGCTCACTATAGCCACAGCCTTCACCCCTGCGGAGAGGCTCGTGCGGACTCTGCCCGCTTAAGGGCGACACCTCAGTGGCTGCTATGGAGCAGGGCTCTCCATGGAGTCTCTGCCTGTGATTCTGGTCACCACCCCTTTCAAGAGGGGGCCAAGGTCTTCTGGCCTCCGTGTGCTCTGTGTCAGGACCAGTGTCTCAACGGAACAATCTTGTCCGTGGTCTTAGGCTCCAGTTCCCAAACTCATCTTCTTGAAAATTATCTGGTCCTCTGAGCCGTTGATCTTAGCCTTCAACTTTTTTGGAAAGATAGCACATAAACCTATCCTATCCCTTCCTACCCAAAGACTCTTTCTCATACCTTCGCCTTAGCAGTGTTTCCCTGCATGCGTCCCTGGTTGTGAACACACGGGTGAGCCTCGCGGTGTGGAGAACCCACGTAACTGCACAAGTCACCTGGGTTGCTCGAGGCTCATTGAGTTCAGACTTTATTACACTGGTTCCAGCCACCCCCAGGAATGAGTTTGCTTTAGGACATTCACAGCTTAATCTGCTTCCGAAATAAAACTGCCATTCTCAAAGGGCACTGCGTCTGGGAATTGTTTCTGTGTGTGCAGTGCTGGCCTCGCAACAGAGGCTTTAGGCATAATGCCCTGTGTGCGTGTTTGTGGCTTTTTTGCTTATTAAGGACTTTCTCTGTACAGGCCCTTCCTTAAAGTGTTTTTCTACATGCTGGGCTCTGTTACCAGGTAATTTCTTTTTTGGAGGGACTCATTTCTAGGTTTTATAAAGTTCATACTTTATGACCCAACATCTGTCATTTTAGCAGCATTTATTTCAACGTAAGTAGTTTTTACCCATTCATTGTTCCCCTGATGCTTAATCCAAGATGAAAGTGTGCATACCCACACTTTTAATCTAGAAACTTCTATGAGGTCTCTGTTGGTGTTTTCTAATTCTTCCATGTGACTTAATCCTTGATATTTTAGGAAAATGATAGTCTAGTCTAGACCATTTTAATCACTCTGGACAAATGCTAGGCTGTCATTATGAACCTCCCATATCCAAGTTTATCTCCATGTACCATTATTTTTAGAGTGTAGCTTGGTCCCCAGAATCACTAAAATAGACACAGTGAAGTGATTGCAAAGGAATAAAAACACTCCTACTGTGGAATTTAAAATCTTTTCTATTTTTAAAACAAAAGGCTGTAATTATAGTCTAGCAGAAAGGAACTCTGCCAGAAGACTATAAAAACAGGGTAAAATGAGTATAATATAAGATTTAATATTGCCTTTTTTGTGCTGCAAGGCAATTTATAAAGACCTTTAAAACTTGAAGGGATCTGGCCATGGCTATTGGTTTGGTTTGAATTTATACTTTAATGTCCGTGTTCTAAAATTCCTCTGTCCCATGAAATGGCATGTAGCTATTTTAGTTTTTTATTAAAGGTTTTCCACTAAAATAATGCCATTATATCAATTAGATTGGGAAGCATCCTGTTTTCTATGATGACTTAATGTCGTACTTCAGCAAACTGTGTTTGGTGGTGGCACTTTCTCCAGGCGTACAAAGCATGGAGCAGAGGGGCGCATGAGGACAATTACCCCGGGACGTAGGTCACTGGCTCCTGTGTAGCGGACTGGGAGAGGTCTGGAAGGGCCATTGTCTTCAGGACAGCCCAGGCTTGGAGACAACGAGTCGCGGGGTGATGAGCACAGCCCCTCAGTCCAGCTTTGCTGTGTGCCAGCTGCGTGACCTGTCTCTGCCTCGGTTTCCTCCCACCTCATAAGATTCCTGTGAGATTAATGAGTCGATGCTGGTAAAGCGCTTCAAACAACGCCTAGAGCACAGGAAGTGCCGTGACACGAGGTGGAGTGTGTTGCCAGGATCTCTCTAGTCTTCCTGCAGAGCCAGAGCGTTCCCTGCCTCACCTCACTTCCACGTCCTGGATCAGGGGACTTCCCAACTCTGGTTCTCTAAAGAAGGAAATGTCAAATCAGTATTTTTTTTTCTGCTTTAAAAAACAGGATGAAACAAAAACTTTATAATCCAATGGCCCTAGGAATGATTTAAGGAAAAAAAAGAAACCTTTCCTTAAGACCCCAAAAGTAATATTCTTTTGAGTCAGTCCACGTGTTTGTGTGCATATGTGTGTGGGGTGTGTGTGTGTTTTATTGACAACAACTGGGGGTCTGTGTACAGAGGACTTTTGGGGGTGCTGTTGCTACACTAAATGCTATGCTAAATGATGTCTCATTATGATAAAATCTGCCGCTTTCTGTGTCCGAGTCACTAACGACAAAGCTGTGTGTGTTGCAGTGGGAACCAGAAGATGGCTTTCCTGCTTCCTGTAGCAGAGGCTTGGGAGAAGAGGTGCTTTATGATAATGCAGGCCTGTACGATAACTTGCCGTCTCCGAAAATCTTTGCCCGCTACTCTCCTGCTGACAGGAAGGCTTCTAGGCTGTCTGCTGACAAGCTGTGCTCTAACCATTACAAACACCCTGCCTCTGCTCCGCCTGTTACTAACACCTCTTCTGTGGGGAGGGCGTCTCTCGGGCCCAGCTCCCAGGTACAGCATCTTTACCATGCCTAGAATCATCTTGGAGTCACGCTCCTCTGGCAGAGTTTTGCAACATGTGCTAAATAGGACTCAACAAGAGAAAGCATAATTTTTTTCCTCAACTAGAATATAATTTGCAATTTGACCAGCAAGGAATTGATGAAATATTCCTAATTAGTTCATAGTTTATCTAAGCACTGTTTCTTTGCCTACATCTGGCTCTCTTTCTATTCTTAGAATATTCCCCAATAAATTTTTATGAATTATGTCAACTAAAGACAAATATTTTTTTAAAGAACCAGGGTAGTAAAACTTCTTAGAAGATTCTTAAACTGCATGTTTCTTTTATGTGCTTCCACATAATGAGGAAGGGTTGACTCCATGAAGTAGTTGCCTTTTGATCTTTAAACATGAAATAGGATTGATTATTCAGAGTGCTAAAGTGTTTTTCCATGATGAGTATAAAGGTATACTCCCTAAAACTTAGTAGATGATAAAAAAGGATTTTTGATGAGCATTGAATGATAAAAACCTTAATGTTGAGCTATTTATCCCATACCCCGTGTTTATGGCAAATAGTAACATTTCAGAGTAAATACTAATTTTGTGTTATCATGGTTTTTGTTTTGTTTTATTTTGGGGTTTTGTTTATTTGTTTGTTTGTTTTAGAGATGGGGCATTGCTATGTTACCCAGGCTGGATTCCACTTCCTGGGCTCAAGCAGTCCTCCTGCCTCAGCTTCTTAAGTAGCCAGGACTACAGATGTGTACCACTGTGCCCAGCTTATCACGGAGATATTTAACCTAAGAATTTTTAATGTTTTACCTAAAAATCTAAGCACCATATATAGGAATACTAACATAAAGCAAAAGGGCATGTTTTAAATTTTTTCTTTTCTTTTTCTCTATTCTTTGGGTACTTTTTTTATTTTTATTTTTTTGAGACAGAGTCTGGCTCTGTTGCCCAGGCTAGAGTGCCGTTGCATCAGCCTAGCTCACAGAAACCTCAAACTCCTGGGCTCAAGCAATCCTTCTGCCTCAGCCTCCCGAGTAGCTGGGACTACAGACATGGGCTACCATGCCCAGCTAATTTTATATATATATATATTTAGTTGTCCAGATAATCTCTTTCTATTTTTAGTAGAGATGGGGGTCTCGCTCTTGCTCAGGCTGGTCTCAAACTCCTGACCTTGAGCGATCCTCCTGCCTTGGCCTTCTAGAGTGCTAAGATTACAGGCATGAGCCACCATCCCAGCCTCTTTGGGCAATCTTAATAAAATAATTAACCAGGTAAGATCCTAGAATTCCAGGTAGTAGGGACTTAAAGCATTACCTCCCAGTAGATTGGCTTCATCAAAAATCAAATGTGAATTTTTTGTTTGTTTTTGATTTTTAACAACAGTTGCTCAGATCACATCCCTAGAAATTATGATTTCGTGTGTCTGAGGGGCCCAGACATATGTACAGTCAGGTGTGGGGGCACTGGCCTGTAGGGTTTTTATGAGTACTTATGCAAACAATCTGGTAGGATATATATTTATTTACTAAGTGAACATGTATCTGTCGATCTGTCTTCTTATTGGTATAAGAGTTCCCTTAGATAACAAGCTGCAGTGAAATATGCCATTTTGTACAGCTGGGCTATACCCAGATTAGTAGGGGAATCATTTGATACACAGTGATGTGTGGAGTTTTCTTGTTATGTTCTTTGTTTTTCTTTTGTTTAAATAGGAAGCAAGCAAGTTTTGTAAATTGGATTATATTACCGTTAGGTTTTCTATCCTCATTTGGTCATTTTCATGGGAACCTATTATCTAATGGAGAGACCTTACACTCACTGAACACTCCCAAGGTGCCATATGCTGTATATGTGTATGGTATGTCATTTAATCTTTCTAAGGGCCCTGTGGGGAGGTATCCGTATCTCATTTTTAAGTGAACACACGGAGAAGGCTCAGAAAGTTTAAATGACTTGCTCAGCATCTCCAAATGGCAGAGCCAGAATTTGAAGCTGGATCCATCTGCCTCCCCAAAACCAAGGCCCACCACAGAAGGAAATTTAGTGTCATGGTAAAAGCATGGGCTTGGAGATCTAGAGTTAACCTTTGGCATCAAGCTGAATTTATGACTCAACTAAGGCACACATAATATCAATTAAGCAAAATACAACATTTGTTGGCTTACAGCAATCAAAGAAGTAGGGGTACTCTTTGTTTTTTTTAAACCCGTGATTAGTGGAAATTTAGTTTCCAAATTATTCACACCAAGTCTGTATTATGCTTCTCTTCCTTCCTTAGAGCCCCTCACTGAGGCATAGGCAGTTATCTACCCCATCGGACGGCACTCAGGATAAAAGCCCTTGAAGCAGCAGAAACCTAACTGCAGGGTTGTGCTACTCCCCTAAAAAGCATCCCACTAAAATAAAAGCTATTTATCCATAGCAAACTTTTAGTAAGCTCTGCTGAAGGCTCTTGGATAGTCAACTGCCTGTGCCAGTTTCATGGTGAGCATTTATGATCTCCCAAGAGAAATGTATGACTTCTACAGCACTGCATCTAAAGACATCCTAGAGAGCCTCATTTATTTTTGAACCTCAATGCTAGAACCTTCTTAGCCATTCCAGGAAGATCACAACAGCCCAAAGTTTGGAGACCACCTTGGTTTTATTTTACCTTCATTTGTTTACCATCTGTGCTAGGTTCTGGTTAAAGAGTCAGATACTGAAAGAAATTACTAGAGAAAAAAGAAAAACAAGGTTTTTTGTTTCGTTTTGTTTTTAATTTTCTTATATGTTTATTTCAACAGTTGAAGGGTAAAAAGCCCCCAGTGGCAACTAACGGGGTCACAGGGAAAGGGAAGACTCCAAGCGGACAGCTAAAAAAAGCAGACTCAGCAGCCGGCATGAAACGGACAGCCTCGAGTGAGTTTCTCATTTGGTTTCTTGCTTTCTGGTTTGAAGCACAGTTTGCAAAACTGGCATTGTCTGGGCTTGCTCACTAGGGAGTACCAGTTCGGGGGTCAGTTGGAGAGATGGGATTGTGTGCACTGTCATTCTTTGGATGAGTTGAAGAAAGCAATGGTTTTAACCCAATTTTGTGACTGTTTCATGTAGAAGGAAACACAAAGCAGGTTTGTTAGCTGTGCAATTGATTTAGCATGTATAAATACTGTGAATGCAGCTCCAGGTGGCCCCAGTCTCTGGGTCAGAAGACTGGTCTGTGTCCCTGATCTGCTATTGACAAAGTCATGTAAATGCTCTAAATTCAGCCTCTTTCTCTGTCAGACATGGACCAATGGCTCCTGTGGAAGCTATGATTGAAATGATTGAGGTAATGCATGTACCTCAAAGCACTCGAGTAATGCAGGATTTATAAGGAATTATTAATCTTGCGGTACACCATAGTCTACAGCAAGCCACTATTTCTCTTTCCTTGTTTATTTCTCATAGCCACTTTATAAAGGTAGATATTGTCATCTGTTCCACTGTACAAATGAGAAAAGAATCTTAAGTGGCTCTTTGTGGGCTTGCAGCTGGCAAATCTAGCCAGAAGTAGATTGGGCAGAGATGCAGTGGGACAGGAGAGACACAGCCTGCTTGAACGCCAGGGACCTTCCTCTCCTAGCTCCAGAGAGATGCATCTGGGGTGGTGGTACAGTTATCTCTGTGTATTTGCATTTTCTTTGGCCCTCATCCTATCAGGTGTCTGATCATTTGTCCAGCCAGGGAGCCAGCCAGGCAGCATTTATGCACTCAAGGCACTGTGCTTGTTACCAAGGACATAAAGATAAGATAGAGCAGTTGCCAGCAAATAGCTTCAGTGGAGCAGAGTCACACATGCATGTGGGCCAGGGCAAGGGCTACAATGTGGGGTGTTACAAGGCTCAGGAGTGCCTGTTTCCCTCAGTCATGGGGGAAGGTTTCCCCGAGGAGGAAGGTGGGAGTTGGATGTGAGTGTTGAGCTTGGTGTGATTGCATGCCATTGTCACTTGGGCTTTGTACCTGAACCTTTGGAATCCAGATTAATGATAGATTAATCCAATTGGTAGACCAGTCTCTGTGTTAGTGAAGATGAGGCTAGCCAGCTCCAGTTGGCACCTCTGTGGCAGGTGTAAGGAGAGAGAGGCTGACGTCCGTGTGCTATGGTTGGAGGCTCACAGGGGACTCGGAGGCTGGCTTTCTCTGTGGCTGTTTGCCTGGACAAGCGCTGAAACTGCCGCGCAGTACTTTGCTGCTTCTGCCCTGAGGAAGCTTGTGCGTGCTTTACTAAGCTAATCTATTAATACATCGCTGTTCTACCCAAACGTGCATGTCATGTAGATAGGTCGGGAGCCAGTTGGGCCAAATTTATTTATTTAATATGCTGACTTATTTTGACCTTATCTCACTGTAATCTTATTTCCCTAGTGCATTTCGGTGTATTCATATTTCCTTCTTCTAGTGTTGTTCATTTGGGAAGGAAATGTTCATTTGGGCTGGGGGAGAGCAATAACTCAGGCCTGCAAAGCTGTGTTAAGCAGGACCTGAATTGCATGAAGTGTTGGCTGTCAGCGTTTCTCTTTCAGCACTTACGCTTATCTCCTACATGGTTTATTCCTTTATTTTATGATACCTTCTGTGGGAAATTTTTATTAACTTTAGTGACATCTAATGGTGACAAAAGAGAAAAATAATTGCATTCTGTGTTTTTGCTGAATCCAGCCAGTTGCATTATAGATTGTATGGGATTTATTGCATAGGGACTAAAATATGTGGAAATTTATAGGTTATTGTATGTGTGTTTGTTGGAGAAACACCTTAGTTTAGAAATAAATGGGTAGAGTTTGGTTTGGACTTGGACCTGTTTGCAAAATATGTCATTATCTTAGCCACAAATAGCAATGCCTTAGCCACAAGTAGCGATGCTTTGGTTCCAGAGTATCGATTGGCCATCCTCAGGCTGCCAGTCCTTTCAGTAGCATTCTGTGGGTTTCTCTCTGGTGAGGGGAAAATTGGTTGGAGAGTGATAACTTTATATATGCCTTCATAAATGCACTATTTCATTGGAATCATGACAGTTGGCATTGCAAAAAATTGGCACATCCAACCTTTAGGACAGGCACTAGCAGTGGCTCTCTGTCTGTGCGGACAGGCTCTGGGGTGTCCGTCATTGCTGATCGTGATGAGAGCTGTCAGTGAGTGACTACTACGTCCAGGCATCAGGTCATTTTGTTAGGTTTCTTTTAAGATACATAGATCTAAATTTTTAAAAAATCACAAGGTAGTCCTTACTATTTTATTTCTGCTTTATGGAGGGTGAAACTGAAGTTTTGGAGATTGCTTGCCCAGAACCATTTAGCAGGGAAGGGGCGGTGTGCGGACTTATGTCCACCTCTGTGCGTGACGTCATGTTTTTATCATCAGCCACTGTGTTGCCCTCCATGGCTTCTACCTCAAAGTAGTTTCGAGTCTGGTGAGGGAGTCAGACAGGTGGGGTGAGAAGTGAGGAAGATGTGCATGAAGTATACAAGGCTTTGAGCTGTTGTCAGCTGTGTGTGATTGTCGCAAGCAATTGGAGACGGTTGAAGTTTTGAGACTAGTGATCCGTGTCAGAGTTTTGTTAGAATCTTCATTTCTTGAATGTATTTTTCCAAAGCGTTTTTTTCTAAATTACTATTATTGAGAGGCCAGCATAGTAAGAAGAGAGCACAGGGTCAGGATTGTAATGCCGCATTAACTGGTGGTGTGATGTTGACCAAGTCTCTAAATTTTCCTGAAAACTAGTTTCCTCTTCATTCATTCATTCATTCATTCATTCATTCATTCATTCATTCATTCATTCATTCATTCATTTTGTTAAGCAAGCATTTATGTATTGTGTATATTGTATATATATTTTGTGTTTATTCTAAGTGCTTTATAAATATCAATTAATTTACTCCTCATAATAACCGTAGGAATTACCTGCTCTTATCTCCACTTCCCAGATCAGGAAACTGAGGCATAAAGAGATTAAGTACCTTGTTCAAACTCACACAGCTGCAAGTGGCAAGAAGTCATGCATAGACAGTCAGGCTCCAGATCCTATTCTGTGTTGCCTCTTCACTTATTCATTTTTTGTTTATTCACTCAACAAGTGTCACTGTGTGCTCACTGCCTGCCAGTGCCAATCTCTATAGCATCAAGTCAGAGCAAAACAGTCAGATGACATATGAATAGTCATAAGGAACAGATACTGCAGTGCTATGGAAGTATTTTCCAAAATACAGAGAACTACACAAATCCAAGAAATTATTTTTGATGGTAATAGAGTCCTATCTTTTCAGATTATAGACTGTTCACTTGCATCCTTGTTGAAGATTAATTATAAGTGGTATGTCTCAAAGGGAAGGGAATTAAAGGAATTTCCGAATGTTCTATTTTCTTTTTTTAAAAAAAAATTGGTTCAAAGACTACCAGAACATTTGAATTTGTCACTTTTCTGCTTAGTTCAAACCAGTCTTATTTTCTCTTGTTAAATTAGCAAAATAACGGGCTTTGAGTTTATTTTACCAAGTTGGCTGATTAAACCATCTTTATGAATTACCCCATTATCTGCTTGATTAAACCTAAGTTTCTATTGCTGCTTTTTTTCTTTCGAAGATGCTGACCAGTACAAGTATGGCAAGAACCGGGTAGAAGCAGATGCGAAGAGGCTACAGACCAAAGAAGAAGAGCTGCTGAAGAGGAAAGAAGCCCTGCGGAATAGACTGGCCCAGCTCCGGAAAGAGAGGAAAGACCTGAGAGCCGCCATCGAAGTGAACGCTGGTATGAAAGAGTCGGCTCCTCCTGGCCCAGGGCGACATGGTGTCGGAGGTTATACGTTTCATCCTGCTTTGCCCAAGGGATCTGTGACTCACCCAGGCTATCATTTTATTCAGTAAGAGTATATTATTCCACGTAGTGTGTCTTGGGTTTAGAAGCATTGCAGGTAAGCCCAGGGCAGGTGCCACCGTGTTTGAATTATGTGGCAGGTGGGTGGAGGCCAGGGCTGGCGCACAAGCTCCCGCTGAGGCAGGAGGGATGCGGGGGGCCTTCATCCAGCGCCAGGTGCTGACAGCAGAGAGCGCCTGGAGGGCGACCTCCGTGTCTTAGGTCTCCGTTGATTCTGGCCACTGTATAGTGAGTCAGCTGGATTTCTCTGCAGGAGGGCAGCCCGCAGGGATGAGTAATGTTCAGAAGTCCAGGCAAGGTGGGAGGTCTCTGCGTGGGGAGCACGCAGCCTTCTCTCCCCCTGAGAAGGGAAAGGTGAGAGTCCTGGAATTCGTCAGAGAAGAGGCCAGGGTAGAGGAGTCTAAACCCCAAGAGAAGGACTAAGAGTAAAGGCACAGTCATTGGAAACTGAGTCAGGAGCTGGCACAGTAGAACTGGGTTAAGCTTGTTGATTCTTGCTAGCAGAAATGAGGTATTTGGTTCCTAACACTGGAGGTGGAACTGCTTAAACATATATCCCTTCAGTTCCCAACTGGTTCTTATACTGGGGCAGACCTGAGTTTTTACGTTTAGGTTTTGCTAGCCTGGGAAGGGAAAGACGGTGGAATGCAGATACTACAGGGGACCAGGATGTTGAAAAGTGTCTTAACCACACAGGGAGGACTGAGGTGTGTGCACAGTGAGCAGTTAATTGCAGCTCGAGCCTTTCTTGACTGCAAACCTGAGTGATTACAATGGAAGGAAGTGCTTCTGGGGCTTTGTGGTTGGGAAGACAGGTATGTGCTGAGTGGATCAGGCTGACTCCGTAGGAGGAGGCAGGATGTGGCAGCAGTGTGGGGCTGCCCTGCAGGGGTTGAAGTCCAAGAATGGCACAGGGCCTTGAGCTTGATGAGACAGAAGTAGGATTTCCTGCTTCTTTTATTCCAAGCTTACAGGATGGTGAAGATGCAGAAAGGTTGGGGGAGCTTTGCCCTTGAAAAAGACAAACTCAAGAGCTGGCCGGCTCCAGCCCAGGCCCCAGCACAAGTCTGTTCCCCTCTTGGACTGGTTTTCTCATTTGTTCAGTGGGTACATTACCTGCCATCTTAAGTCACCATAACAGATCTCAAATACAATAAATAAAGCAAATGTGCCTTAAAGAAGTGTATGCCGTGTCCGGTAGAGAAGCAAGCGGTACTGGTGTTTATTGCCACGGGGGCAAATAAGATGACTCAGTAACCGCACTGGAAGTATAAGAAAAGAACAGTGGCAATTCTCGCTAGGCCAGTGGCACCTTTGGGAGCCGTACAGGTTGAGGTCCACATTTGTAAGTGAGTGTATTGAGGCCCAGACCCAAGAGTTCCTGGGATTTGTAAGAATCAGGGTCTCTTGTTTCCTGCTTGTGTCCTCCCAGCAGCAGCAAGGGAAGGTGAGTGGATAAGGACTCTGGTCCTTTAAAGATCAGCTGGGTCCAAGTTTTGTAGAAAGGACCTATGTCAGGGGAGCTCACCCTGAAACACTCCACAGAAACCCTTGGGGGCCAGGCATCCTCTCCTCTACCGTTGGGAAAGTCTGTGCCCCACCCTGGAGCATGTTCTTTGGGGCTTTAGGCAGGAAGACCCAGGTGGTGCTGGAGGACAAGTTGAAGAGGCTGGAGGAGGAGTGTCGGCAGAAGGAGTCGGAGCGCGTCAACCTGGAGCTGGAGCTGACGGAGGTCAAGGAGAGCCTGAAGAAGGCGCTGGCGGGTGGGGTCACCCTGGGGCTGGCCATCGAGCCCAAGTCGGGGACGTCAAGTCCACAGGTAAGCGTCCTGCCGCTCACCCCAGAGGCCGCAGGGCCTGGACGACAGAGCAGGAGCTGGGTGGTGCTCTGGTGTAGCAGCCCACTGTCCCTCAGCACTGACAGTGGAGGCGTGTTCACCCGTGCACGTCACACACTGACAGTGGAGGCGTGTTCACGTGTGCGCGTCACACACTGTCATCGTCCAGGTTCCGTGTTCTCAACATTACGTCGTCTGGTCTCCTTCAAAGGCGAGGGCACCGCTGTCTGTTTCTTTCCCTTCACACAGTCTGATTGTAGCAGGTCCAGTTCTTGTGGCTCTTTGGAACCAGGCCTAATTGGATGCAAATTTATTAGATAGGAAATTTAATTCAGTGTAGCACATTCAATACAGTCTCCAGCATGTACTAAGAATCAAGCCAGGTGCTGGGGAAACTGAAGTGAATGAACACAGTCGTGTCCTCTCAGAGTCCAGGAGGACACAGGGAGATCATTTTCCCAGTGTGAATCATCACCGTAAGTGGTTTCCTCTTCCCTCACATTCACCTGACCGTCACTGAGAACTTCCTGTTGTCTTTCCACTTGATTATCCCGTTGGATCTCTTGTCTGTGAGTCAGATGTTATTCCTCCCAATGGAAAACTTGAGGTCCAGAGACTTCGTCCGCGTCCTGCAATGCTCTTGTTCCGGGTCCTTCTTTCCAGGCCACTGGGCCAAACGCTGAACTTGAACGAATCCACACAAGCTCTGGGGGGATTTCGGGATTTATGGCACCCCTGAAATCCAGCCCTCATCAGTTTATTCTTCTCTCCTCCCCAGAAGACAGGCTGCCTCCCGCTTGGCAGAGCTAGTTCGGGTGGCCGGGTCGCTGTGCTGTCACCGGCTGTGCTGTGCATCTCTCAGCCGCAGCAGGGTGCAGCGTCTCGGAGAGCGGGCTGCGGGCTCACACCGGCTGGGGTTCACAGATACGTGCCTGCGCGGGGCTCCCGTTTATGCGTCTGTACAATGGAGATAAAGATACTGCCTGCTGCAGAGGATCACGTGGGCAAAAGCTCTCTGCACAGGCCCAGCCGGAGCGCGAGCGTGTTCATTCATGTATTCCGTAACACATACATACTCATTTATGCACTACATTCATTCAACAATTATATTTTATATATAATTATGTATTACTATCATATGTATGTTAATAATTACATAGAATTTAGTCAATAATTACAGATATTTACTAAACATAACACATATATATACAAGCGTGTGTGTATGTGTATGCACATGCTGTGTTCCTTCTGTGCCACCATGTGCAAGTGCCGGGTGTGGAGCTCGGGTTCTGGTGAGGGAGACGCCTGCCGAATACGCTTATGTCAGGTGTCAGCAGGGCCCTACAGAGCCATGAGGCAGGGCTTGGAGAGCTGGACGCAGTGGGAATTAGAATCTGAGGGCTGGGGGTGGCTCAGAGTCCTGGGCTTGCTGGCATCTGACACAAAGGGGACAAGGGCATGATGAGGCCAGCTGCAGTTGGAGAGTGGCAGTAGCTAGGAACGTCACGGGCGTGGGGTGGGGTGGGCTTTCCTTGTGACTCGTGCCTATGATGATTAGAGGCAGGAGGGTGTGAGGCCTCCACGAGCTGCTTGTCCTACCCATGAGTTGCTTGTCCTACGTGGGGGTGATAGCTGGGAAGAGCCAAATATGGGGGCCTTGGCAGCCGAGGGTATGTTTTGTTCTGTTTTATGCCTTCCAGAAAGCCTCTTCCTTTGGCACATGTATTATTCTTAGATGTGTGATTCTTTAAACCACAGCGTGGTCCAAAGCACTGCCCATCTCCATCCTTGGGCTTCCCTGGCTGTGGCCAGGGTCCTGTCGAGGCCTGGGTGGCCCTGTGCTGGTTCCAGACACCTGTGGGGATCCTCCTCCTATATCTTCAACTTTTGCTCTCTATTAGCTTCCTTCAGAGCATTTAAAGATTCTCTAATTTGTTCCATCCTTAAAGCACAGTTTCTGCCCCCAGCCCCTGCTCCCGCGGTCAGTGGCTGCTGGTTGCCCTGTGTTTCTTGTCTTCCTTCCACACTGTGCCTCCAAGAGCTCTTGTCCCATTCGCGTCTCCACTGGCTATAGTCTGACCTCTCGCCACGCCTGCTTTCATCAAGGTGACTTCCAGACTTCAAGCCCCGTCGGCACTGTGGTCCTCCCTGCTCTCCCATCCCCATCCCTTTTGGCCCAGCTGCCGCCTTCCTCATCTGCAGTGACCCCATATTCTCCATGGTACCTGTGGCCCCTCTCCTAGCCCCGAGCCCCCCAGGCCTCCCTTTACCTATGTGGTTTGCGCCCATCCTGGGAGGATGCCCCAGCTCCCCCGTCCCAGCCCAGAGTGCTTTGGGGCTTCCTCTCTCACGAGGGTCTCTGGATGGACTCTGGTTACCATCATCTGCCCTAGCACCTGTGGAGCATTCTGCTTCAGTGCCACCCAGGCCACGTCCTTGGAAGAGTGGCCTGTTAGGGAGACCCTCCAGGTGTGGGTCACATGCCACTTACCTGGTCTCCCCCAGAGACTATGTCCAGAGTTGTCATTCTTCTGCCTGTTCACCAGCCACTGCTTCCCCCACCCCTCCAAGCATGCTTGCCTCTTACAAGCATTTACAAGGACAGCTGGAATGCAGGTAGAAGTTCTCTGCTTGGGGATCTGTGGCCAGTAAACCTCCACAGGGACCCCAAGTTACCTATTTTAATGGTAATCGAACCGTGGTTCTCCTAAAACAATGTTCTGCATACCCCGAGTGGTATTTTTTATGTTATACATTTTGGCAGTAACAATAGGAAGAGTTTATTCCCTGGAGACTCATTTGAGGTACAGCAGACTGCGGACGTTTTCCCCAAAACGCAGTTTGTAATCCCATATGGAAGAGCCAAATATGGGGGCTTTGGCAACCAAGGGTACGTTTTGTTCTATTTTAAGCCTTCCAGAAAGCCTCTTCCTTTGGCACATATATGATTCTTAGATGTGTGATTCTTTAAACTATGCAAACTGTGCTGTGAATAGTCAGGCACGCTCAGCGCAGTCAGCGCCTGTGCTGCTCCAGCGAGCCGCGTGCAGGGTGCCGGCCCAATCTCCAGTGCCTTCGCTGCCAGGGGGTCTCAGGTCAGCCGACCCACAGAACAGCCCTGAGCACTGCAGAGCACTGCCCAGGGGCACAAGGCAGAGGCCACACGATCTGAGTGGAAGAGCCCAGCTTTGCATGCAGAAGGCACGGACATGAATCCCACCCTCACTTCCTGGCCACAGCCAGCAAGCCAAAGCCCTCTCCCAGCCTCAGCCTTCCTGTCCCTAAAGTGGACTCTTAAGGTGCTCTAAGAATTAGGCACTGACTACTACAGTTGTCCTTGTTGTTATTTTTTCTCATTTCCAAAACACATTTCTTCTTTAAAATAAACCATTTTCCTGCTGGAAAATTCTGGTGGCCTGGAAACCGTTCTTCACGCAGGGTTTCTCTCTCTGTCAACAGTCCCCAGTGTTTCGGCATCGGACTCTGGAGAACTCGCCCATCTCCAGCTGTGACACGAGTGACGCAGAGGGCCCCGTGCCCGTGAACAGCGCAGCGGTCCTGAAGCGGAGCCAGCCAGCCCCAGGCAGCTCCCCCTGCCGTGGGCACGTGCTGCGCAAGGCCAAGGTGAGTCCGGCTTCCACGCGGCACTCTCCCCGCCGAGCAGCACCCACTTCGCTGCAGGCTTTCAGGCTTTTTGGGGAGATGGAGGAAGCCAAGTTTGTCCCCATGCTCCCTCACACTCGGCTTCGGTTGCACGTCCGGGATGAGCACTGCATAAGTTCCCACTACACGTGAGACCCTCCTTCAGGGAAAAAAGGCAACAAAAGACCTGAACCTGCAGTGGAGGAGTTTGCTGTTCAGCGTTGGGAAAACGGCAGCTCTGGGTCTCATCTCGGAAACGGGCAGGACTCTGGACTCGTGCAGACTTGTTCTCATTCGTGGTCCAGAGATTGGGCTGGGCAACCACTCAGGTCCTTTGCAGCACTTAGTTAGACATAGGATTCTTTAAAACAAAAGAAAGAAAAAAAGCCCAGGAACAAACTCTGCTCCGTTACCCTCCCCAGTTCCCCCGCAGATCCCGAATCTGGGACCCGAGGGTGTCGCAGGGCACCTCCGCCTCTGCACTGTGGTATCTCCCGTCTTCTCACGGGATTAGCCAGTATCAGTTTTTGTTGCTAAGCTTAAAAAATCTCAGAAATTTTGTTAGACACAATTTCTAGTTTATCAAATCAAACAGGTCTTGACCGCAGCAGCTGAGAATGTCCTCTGCGTAAAAACCACGCCAGGTGCAGTGACCAGAGCAGATGAATTTCACACGCTCTGATTGACGTGAGGCTGGACGCCCGCCCTGCACCGTCTCCATTGGCTGCTCCAGCTGCTGGGGTTACTTTCTCTGGCAGCTTTTGGAAGCCTTTCCATGTTGGCTGGGAATGTACAATTCCTGGAGGGTGGCTAGTGTGAGACCAGGGCGTGGGTGTGGGCTGCTTGCTGCATGCTCGGGAGTGTTCATGGAGGGGCCTGAGAACCGTGTTTCTGCAGCACCCTAGAGTAGCCGCAGGGCGGATGCACTTTACCGGAGACTGCCTGGCGGTCGGTCTGGGGAAAGGAGGAAGCATCGTGTCTCGTTCCCGCTGCTTTCTTAGCGGCCTCCACTGCTCTTGGTCTGTGACCATTAGGCTCCTTTGCAGAGGAATACGTGTTGCCCCGGGGTATTTAGACATGAGCTGCCCAATAAAGTCCCGCTTATGACTTGCGGATGAGAAGTGCAGTAAAAGCATTTCATTTACTTGGTTTCTTTTTTTTTTGTTTTGTTTTTTTTGTTTTTTTTGAGACAGAGTCTCGCTTTGTTGCCCAGGCTAGAGTGAGTGCCGTGGCGTCAGCCTAGCTCACAGCAACCTCAAACTCCTGGGCTCGAGCGATCCTTCTGTCTCAGCCTCCCGAGTAGCTGGGACTACAGGCATGCGCCACCATGCCCGGCTAATTTTTAATATATATATCAGTTGGCCAATTAGTTTCTTTCTATTTATAGTAGAGACGGGGTCTCGCTCTTGCTCAGGCTGGTTTTGAACTCCTGACCTTGAGCAATCCGCCCACCTCGGCCTCCCAGAGAGCTAGGATTACAGGCGTGAGCCACCGCGCCCGGCCCTACTTGGTTTCTTTACCATCAAAGAAATTGGATTTAAACTATGTGACTCCAGCCTTTGAAAGGGTTAAATTCACGGTGTGTGCTGTCACCATGCTCAGGCTCTGGCAACCTTCTTCCTGCTGCTCATTCCTGATAAATGAAAAGCGTGAGATCCAGCCAGCCATCAGGCCCATCCACGTCCAGGGAGGGAAATATTAATAGCTGTCTGTGCTCATAGGCCCGGAAACCACCGTGAAAGTAGCACTTGTCATACGGCCAGGAATGCTATGTACATCCTTGCTAAAAAAATGGTATTGAGCAGGGTTTCCCAGGACTTGGGAGAACAGTGGCAAGGGACACACGGCTGGAGGTGGGGGTGGTGCTGTGGCCTTTGACCCTGAGCACATTAGTACACTTGGGGTATACCACAGACACAATCTCATCTGCCACCCAGCCTTCTCCTGAGGACCAGGGAGTCTGACTTATTCCAGTGATACTGTGGGCAATATTATCCCAGGTGCAATATTTCTAAAATCACTTCCAACTCTTGATGAAGATACTCTGAGCTTGAGAGGGAGCTCATTGGGAAGTCAGATGGCTTCTCATCACCTGTCACAGGGTATCCCAGCTCAGAAGGGGATTCCCAACAGGCCACAGGGCTGGGCAAGCTGTTTCCCCTCCCTCTGGGAAAGACACCAGGTGTGGGGATGGTGGTCCTGCTTCAGAAGTGCCCAGGGGGGCAGGGGCTGGGCTGCCCTCTAGTGTCATGCACACCTGAGGGCTCCGCTTCCCGCCCTGCTCAGGTTCAGTAGTTTCCACGGGTTCTCATTCTGTCACTCCCAGGTCTGTGGCCATTGTGACCTGCGCTCTGAAATGTCATCTAGTTTGCTGAGCTTGTTTGCCAAACATACTTGGCAGCATCTGTAGACAGCGTGTAAGTCTGTCTTTTCTCTGAAACCTCCACTGCCTGGTCGTAAATCAGTGCCTGTCAGGGCTGACCTCGTTGCTTTGTCCTCTGAACACCTTCTCTGTTTATAGTGGCCCCTACAGTTGTCTCGTGGAGGCCGTGGCAGTCTGGGAAGGTGGAGGTGGGTCCTCCCTTTGCAGAACGCTTCACCCAAGTGCCTGAGAGCGCCTCACACACGTTTTTATTATCCCTAAGCGTAGCTCAGTTTTGGTCTTGGTCTCTGCTGAATTTACTAATGCCATACATTCAACCTTTAATTAAACATGAGCTATTGATTCTAGAAAAGATGAGAAACTTGTAATTGTATACAGCATGCAGAGATGTGCTGTGTGCCCATGGCCCAGTGAATAAGGCCCCGGAAACACGGGGAGTCAGACGTAGACCAGACCAGGGCATGCACTGTGCACAGAGGAGGATGCCCCGTTTGGAGGCCAGGCCTGAGGCACGCCAGCCCTGTGTGGGCACCTCACACACGGTTTCTCCCTTTGTCTTCCCGCCGTGCTTTGGAAGCGTTGAAGTCCTTGGTGGGACTCACATTGTTCTGAGGCTCAGAGAGGTTAAGCGGCCTCTCCAAGGCTCCACAGCAGCTGAGTCACAGAGGGCTGGCTCTAACACCTGTGCCCTCTGCTCCTCCTGAGCCACCACCTAGAGGGAAAGACAGGCTTTATCCTCCGCAGTGTCTGCTGGCACTCTGAGCTGGGTCTGCTCTCCTGCACCCCCTTCTGGAACCAAATCTCGTGGCACAACTGCACTTCAGACCCGCATGTCCAGCAGGGAGGTGGCAAGTAAATCAACCGTGATAACAGAGTGTGTGGAAGAAGGCACAGAGGTAGTGCACAGATGGCGACGTGTACTCCCAGAGCAGGGGTGGGGCCACACAGGGCAGAGGGCCCTGGAGCCTGGTCCTCAGGGTGCATAGGAGTCTGGCAGGGGACGCAGGGCGGAGGGCCGGCGTGGGCGCCCGTCGGGAGGACCAAGCACAGAGGCGCAGTGCAGCCTGTTCTGGAGGCGGCAGGGCAGAGTGGAGGTGGGCTGGCCCTGCTGCGGAGCAGGTGGGTTTGTCCCAGCTTTGGCCCCAGCCCCTTGGACCCACCATCTACTTTCTGTGAGTTTGACTCCTCTAGGGTCCTCGTATAAGTGGAATCCTACAGGATTTATTCTTTTGTGACTGGCTTGTTTCAAGAGCACAAATGCTCTTAAGGTTCATACATGTTGTAGCAGGCCAGAACTCGCTTCCTGTTTAAGGCTGAGTGATAGTCTACCCTGTGTGTACACTACATTTGTAGTTTTCCATTCACCCACTGATGGGCTTTGTTTGCATCTTTTAGCTAGTGTGAATAGTGCTGCCGTGAACATCGGTGTGCAGATATCTGCTTGGGACCCTGCTTTCGGTTCTCTTGCGTCAACACCTAGAATCGGAATTGCTGGGCCATGTGGTACGAAGTCTGTGCTTGCTGTTTGAGGACCGCCGCTCGGCTTTCGGCGGCAGCCGAGCCCCACACCGCCCGACTCCAGTGCTGGCGGGAGGCGGCACCACTCATGTCAGCTGACGTCTTGCTGTTTGGATTCACACAACTCTCCTTTTCTCTAGGAATGGGAGTTGAAGAATGGGACCTAAGGACAGGCACGGCTGCCCGAGCCTCAGTCAGGGACTGCTCGGCCCTCACCCGGCATCCCCACCCGTGCGGCCACAGGAAGCTCTGGCAGCGTGACGAGTTCTGAGACCAGCACCCCGACCCGGCTCACGTGTCTTCTTGCTACTGTATATTGGTGCCCTTTAAAAAATGTACTCGTGAGACTTGGTTCCAACGTTGTTAAAAACAAGAACAGAAAGAGATGAAAAGGTATTGTAAAAGACCTGTGTCAGGCGGAGAAGTTGCATCTTTCTAATCTGTTACATGATTGCTTTAACCAGTTTCGACCCGGTCCCAGCTGAAGACAGACGGATCGTGAGCCCAGATGAAACCCGGGAGCCATGGCAGATCGTGGACCCCGGATGCTCTGGGTGTGAGTGTGCCGGCGCGTGGCGCTGAGCACGCCTGCACGCCTGCCAGGAGGCCGGGTCACTAGCCCTCCCCCTCCTCACTGGAGGTGAAGACTGTGCTGTCAAGCATTTTTTACCCTTTAATTTTTTTTTTTGATTTTTTTTTGTGGACAGATGCTTTTGTCACCAGGAGGTGAAAAGCTGCCATTCTTTTAAACCTGTTTTTAAAGAATGTCTCTTTGTACTGTGTATCGCACTTAGATCTAAGGATTTTCCAGAGATTTTGTATCGCATTAATTATTTGTGCTGCTTTTGAAAGGCAGCGGGGTGTCTGTAATACTTCACTGATGCGCCCTGCGCCCCGCCTCGGCCACCGCAGGGCGGCAGGTGCTCCCGAGCCCCGGGCAGCCGGCGGCGGCGAGGAGAGGCTTGGCTCGTGGTCTGTTTCCAGGGCATTTCCTGGGATGGGAGCAGTCCTTTGAAAAGCAAGCAAGTTCTGGAACTTGTTCAGTTGTAGAACGATGCCATCGTGGAGCAGGAAATGGGCCTTTGTGGGCTTTTCACCCCTCCCTGCCCCCTCTCTCCAGTTTATAAATTAAGCCATGAGCGGGTCGGTGGGCTCAGCTACTGTTCCTTCCTGAGCACAGCAGCCTGGGCGGGCCTTGTTGGTGGCTATCTTGCTCACCTTCTGTGCAATATTTCTGGAGAGTTCAGATGCCTGAGGCATAGAGAGAGAGTTCACAGCTGGTTTCTATCCCGTAGGTCTAAGAATCAGACTAACATCTTGGTCTCCAGAGGGCACTCCTGTAGGGAAGGTGCAGCCACTGATGGGAGAGTAAAAGTCTGTGTGCCCAGAACCCCTCTGCAGACTGAGCCACGGGGACCTGTCACAGTGTGTGTGACTGTAGGACTATAGTGATGCTGCTCCTGCTGCAAACCTTTCATCCACCATCTAGAATGTTCTTCTTATCAAATATAGGAAGAGGTGGCAGAAAAACACAGCCTCCCCAAGTCCTCCCCGGAGCACAGCCTGGGGCCAGCCCTGTCGCCGCAGCCTGTACAGGTTGGATTACTGTGTAATGTCATGGTGCTCGAGCCCTGCAAGAGCCGTATTTGATTTCACTTGCTAGAGCAGGAAAGTCGTCACCAGCGTGTATGAAAGTTTTATAGCAAGATCTGGAAGCTACATAGCTTGAGTCCACCTGAAACTTGAATTTATTGCAAAGCCATCTGCCGAGAGCATTTCTGGTTCATGAGCTATCAACTGGTGTCCTCACTCTGCTGCCCCTTCCTTCCCAATCACCCGCGACGCTCATCACACGGCAGTGAGTGCGTCCGCTTCCCCTGGGGAACTCCAGCGGGCGGGCGGGGAGGGCAGAGGCTTCCCAGACGCATCGGCCTGTGCCCAGGACGGCCAGGAGGAGCCCCTTCCTCAGTGGGGATTTTCTTTTCATCATAGGAAGCTGTAACCACTTCGTATCATATGAAACTAATTTTCTAAAAAGGGGAAAAAGTTTGGTCTACCATAGATTTTTACTGCCCTCAGGTCAAATAAAGTTTTCCAAATTAAGGTTCCTGGCCATTCAGATTGGCAGCCTTCTTTGCCCAAGAGAGCTGTGCCAGGTGCTGATTGTTATTGAAAGAAGGGAAACAATGACCAGCCTGAATTCTTGGTCTTGGCCCAGCAGAGGTGGGCATCAGAGACTGGTAGGGGAAACATCGGCGTAGCGTTAAGCGTAGCACGTGACGCTCAGCCATCACCTGCCTGGCATCACCACTTTGCAGATGGAGGCCCTGCAGCTCGGGGAGTGTCTTGCCCAAGGACACAGGTGGTTGATGCCAGACTCCCAGCATATGTAGTTTTAAAAACCCAGGTTTGTAAATCACTTTCACAGCCATGAGCCTTTGAAGAGGACAGCAAAATTAAGTGACACTTCATGTTCCATGAACTGTTGTTATTGGGTCCTATGGGAGGTGAGGCCCTGACATCGGGCTCCTTGGTGTCCTATGTTCCTCTCGACATTTCCAGATTTGATCAGAAAGTTAAAGCATTTGCTTCAAAATAAGTTATTTATTTGTATATGATCAATAAATATAGTTTTTAATTTATATCTGTACATATTAGACACACACGAGACATCTTGTCAGAATTCTGACAGTGATGTCATTTCATCACCCTCCCAAAGTGTGCCCCAGGAATGAGCTCTCCATGCTCCGGAGCAGCTGTGAGTGCGGCTGTCTTACTCTGCAAGGGAGCCAGGCTGGGGGAGGCGCACTCGCTCCTGGTGTGAGGGTGCAGGCTGCCCCGGAGAAGTCAGATTTCTTTGCAACGTCACCTGTTACTTTAGCAGACAGTCATGCCCACAGAGTGCTGGCACGCTGTGCTAGGATGCTGACCAGATCGTCAGGAACCTGGCGGCTGCACAGCTGGGGCTGGGTGGAGGACAGGTCAGTGAGCGGGCAGACCTCTGTGGGTCCCAGAGCCCTTCTGTTGTAACCTTGAGCCACAGTGTCCTTCCTCAGGGTCCTGCTTCCGGCCGTATTTTCGTAAGGTGTCATCAACCTTCAAAATCCCTTCCTTTTTATATTTGTGTAATGTTTTTAATTCACTAACCAACCTTTTTCATAGAAACAACTCTGATGGTTAAAGGGCTCACTTTGGTCCCCCCTTGGGCACAGGTGTGGACCGTCACGTTCCCTCTGGCCAGATTCTGTGGGGGCTCAGGCAGGATGGCCCGGTCTGCTCCAGAGGAGCCGGCAGCATCACTGCTGGGTAAACCTCGAGGGACTGCCGGGTCACCCCAGACACCTGGTCCCAGATAGGGCCAGACTGCCCCACGAGGGGTGTGGGCCCCTGGCTACAGAGCCCTTCTCTTGGGACTGACCAGTGGGTGCTCACCAGCCACACAGTAAAACCTGTCTCATCCCCTCTGTGCCTACGCCTTGGTGTTGCCAGGCCTGATCTCCCCTTTATTCATCTTGTCCCCGAGTTATTTTTGGCTGTTTCCAAATAGCCAAACTACTCTGATATGATGGAGATTTGTCACTTTTTTGAAAAGTCTATTTCAAAAATCATATGTCTTCAGCTCCGGAGGCCACCTCTGGGAAAGAGTCGCACATTCGCTGTCGTTGTGGCCGAAATTTGGAGGTTGTCCTTTGTTTCCAAAGGACAGCTTTGAAGCTAGGGTTTGGGGTAGGAGCTGTGGGCAAAATTCATCTGTTTATGGTCACATCTTACCTTTCCAGGAAAGACAATTGACTCTGCTAACCCACTCTTAGGGGGAATGTAAGCTCTGCCCACAGACCTTGCTCCCCAGGCAATATTCCCCATCTATGCATCTAACTCATGTCCTTAGAGACCTCCCAGGGACGGGCAGGCCTCCCACCCCCACCCAGAGAAAAGGGATGCGGCTTCATCTGCAGCTGGCACCTGTGCCTCATGCAGTCACAGGGGCCGACACCCTGAGCTCACAGGTGCGCCCTGCAGCCAAGCGGGTGTTGATCCTTATAAATAGCCTTTCCCAGGGGCACGGCACAGAAGTTTCTATGGCATCAGCATCGGCAGACAAGATGCTCATCAATTTATATAAAGGTCATAGCAACATTTAAATGTTAAATTCCTGCCTTCCTCTTTTCTCTTTCTAAAATAATAATGGGAACAACAATTTCAAATTCATGACATAGTTTTAAAGAGGGTAGTCTTTTCATTCCTGTTGTTATTAATACTTTCTTCTTATCCCCGTAGTGGCCCGGGTTCATACTGTGAAAAAACTAAAAATAAATAAAGTAAAACTTCCATGCCATCAATGCACCTGGCACAGACAGCATTGTGGGAAAAGCAAAACCACCTCTGTTGGTGGCACCCAAGCCGCAGCAGGACAACTTGCCATTTGTAAAGGAAGGAAAACTTTACCCCTAGGACATTTTTGGCTTCAGAGGCATCCTGTTGCTCATATTCAGAAGTAGTTCCAGCTATGGTCTTCCAGAGAGCTCAGCACTGCTGTGTGCAGGTGTATCAGGTATTTTGAGTTGTAGCCATGGGAGTGATTCTTGAAATGGGATTTTCAGATCATAATTCTTAGGGACCAAAGGTGTTTTTAATAAGGTAATCTTTCTATTTGACTTTCTAATGAGAAAGGAAAATATTGACTTTAAATTTTAACATCAACTTTTAAATTATAGATATTCAGAATTGACCATGGCTATAAGTTGTAAAATGTTTTCATATTAAGAATGTAATTATTTCCTTATTGTATTTTTTAAAAACTAAAGTCATATTTAAAATTCTCTTTGAAAGAAACAGTCCAAGAAACAGGAAGATTTTTTAAATTAAATATGTTGTTAGTGCCCATTTTAAATGACTGTAAATATATTTTCACTGTGTTTCTCAATGTATTTAATTCATAAAGTTAAAATTTTATGAAAAGAAACATACAATGAAAATACTAGTTTTCAGTCTACTTATCCCATTTTGTAGTTGCTTCTCTTGAATTTTCTGCCTCCCTGATCTTTTCTACTGTTTTCCATGGTGTAACCTATAGACTGGCGCCCTTCGGCGTGACCCATCTGTGTATTAATAAACCGAACTCTTCCAGTGACGCTCGGCGTGCGGCTGGTGTGGTGCAGACTGAGAGGTTGTCCTTGCGGTGACGGGGGCCTGTGCCCGGCCATGTGGCGGGGAGAGAGGTCAGAAGTCATGGGTGAACGTGGGAGACAGGAGGATGAAGGGGCCACAGTTGTTATCAAAAGGTGGCTCAGGGTCCACAGACTTGACATTCCGGAAGTGCAAGGCTCTCTGCCCTGTCAGGAAGTAGAAATGGGTCAGACCTGATCCCTGCGCTTAGGGGCTCACTGTTGGCAAGAACATGCATAAACGGAGAGCGCTGCGTCCTGCCTGGAGGCCCGTGTGAGGGCCTGGAGTCCTAGAAGAAAGAGCAGCTGACTGTGAGGCCGCCAGGTAGGGTTTTGCAGAGGGTGGGTTATGTGAGTGGGGCCACAGTGTAGACAGGAGTCGGGGTAGGAGAGAAGCGAGAAGCTAGGTGGGCGACAGTCCAGGGACTCATGGCAGCAGCAGAGCTGTGGAGGCTGGAGGATGGGCACCGCCTGGGCGAAGGCTGGCAGTGGGTGTGGCTGGGGCGCGGTGCGGGAAGAAGGTGGAGGGGAGGGGGGGCCTCGTGTCCTGCAGAGGGGTGATCCCTGAGACTTGCATCGGAGACAGGCATCTGGGGCTGCCACAGGTGTACGTGTCCACCTGGACGACGGATTGAGAAGGCAGCTGGACAGGTGAGGAAACCCCAAGATGCCTTGCTTTCTCCCCTGGAGCTAACCTTAAAGCCCGTCAGGCTGCAACCTGAGCAGCATGGCTGGTGCTGCTCCGAGAGACGGGACACAAGGGGCAGCAGCTTGGTGGGGTGGCACACATACAGAGGTCAGCGGTCACTATGGGGCCTGCTGAATCTGAAGTGCTCACGGGAAATGCGAGTGAGCATGTAAGAGAGGCCAAGTCTGAGCACGGGAGAGCTGTGGCCTGGAGGACCCAGGACTTGATGGGTGACAGATGGCCTAACCTAGACCACCTTTTATAGGCCGAGGGCCAGGTGACCCAGATGGTACCTGCACCCTAATCCTCCTCTCCCTGTAGCACTGGCAGTGTTGGTGTGGCGTGGGCTGGTCACTCAGATAATGGAGGGTCACCTGCTGCGAATATAAGCAACTATGTCAAAGTTGGGAGGTGTGATAAGTGCTGCAGGTCGTCTGTGTTGACAGAGGCGTCATTCTCCCAGCGCCCCGCTGGCCTCCTGACACTCAGAGCAGCTGCTCCGAGGAGAAGACAGAGGCGCCTCTGCTTCGGGGCATGTTAATTGTTCCTTGGTGGCAATTTGTCTGGCCTAGCGAGCCCAGCTAAAGCTTCTAGAGAGGCTGTTTTGAAGTGATGCACCTTCTTGGTCTGAATAGAGGTCGTGTCCTGGCGAGCTGCCACATGGGAAGAAGTGCCTCTTTAATTTCTTTAGAACTTAGCAAGAGGACACCAGAACTCTTGGCTTTGCATTTGAAAACTGCGGTGAGTACCCGGGGATATTTGTCATGTGAGTTTCAGTTCTGGGCGACGCCAGCCCAGGGAACACAGATCAAGAGCCAGCCCCTTAAAGAGAGCAGAGGAAACGGCAGCCGGTGTCTGCGGTCCTGACATTTTATGAGGGAAACTTCATCAATTTCACAATGCTGTAAAAGTGGCCCATTAGTCAAAAGGTAGGGGAGGAGCCCTAGCCTGCTAGGGCAGACCTAGTGAAGGGGTCAGGCATGCCAGCCTGCACGGGGGCTCGGTCTAAGTTGGTCCTGAACCCGGAGGGGTTGGTGCCTGCAGAACTCTCCCAGAGCCGGTGGGCTGGTGCAGCCGAGCTGGCTGTGTCCTCCCTGTGGAAGCCCACCGGCCGCTCGGACGGGCACGGCTGCCCATGTGCTCAGCAGGGCCTTCCCCGATGTGATGTGTGGGTCCTTGATGACCCTGGGGGTGGCACTCTGCGCAAACCTTTCACAGCGAGGGCATCCGGAGCCCACGCCACCACCTCTTTTGTGGGGCTCCCAGGGCTCTCCCATGCCAGGCCACTGCACACCTGCCCTGGTCACCCCAGGCGGGGCACCAGGCAACTAGACGCAGCCCCAGTGCCCAGAGCCTCGAGGGGTTCGAGCTGCCCGACCCTGAGCCTGCGCACCGGCCTCACCTGTTCCTTCTCCCAGGAACCACAGCGGAGGCTCGTGCTCCCGCCCCGCTGTCCTCCCTCCCCTCGCCTCCTGACCGACCTGCGCTTCCCTGCCCGGCCCTCCCTGAGGACTGTGACAAACTGTCTTTCCAATGACAGTCCTTCCTGGTCTGTTGGCCTCACCTGACCTGAATGATAATGAGGTCAGTCTTTCCACACACCCCAGTCCTCTAGAAGGGGCAGCAGCCTTGGCGTCGCCATGCTCGGGTTCGAATCCTGGCTCGATTTTCGTACTTCCCTCATCCATAGGGTGGCAGAGCAATAACTGGCAGGCTTGTGAGAGTCGGCAGCGTGAAATGCCGGCATGCTGCTGCCGCCTGGCGCGTGCTCTGGGAAGTCAGCCTGCACCGGGTGTGGCCTGGCTCCTGGCACAGTCTCCCAAAGGCCTTCGCCCAGCGCCTCCCTGATGCCTCTGGCACCACCTGCAGTGCAGCCTCACCCGCTCCCAGGGCCTCAGCCAGGACCCCTCCTGCTGGGCTCCCACAGCCACGAGCCCACCACCCCCAGGCCTGGCCCCAAACTGGGCCTCATCTGAGCTGCGCGTGAGCTGGGAGTCTGCTCTCAGGAGGGCAGGAGTGTGGGCGCTGGGGCAGCATCCAGGCCAGGCCAGGGGAAGGCCATAGGCAGGAGGCAGAGAGGGCAGAGGGGCTGAGGGAAGCAGGAGTGCGGCCGGGCCAGGCCCAGGGAGGCCCGTGCCTGCTGCGGGAGCAGGGCCCAGGGGCCTTGCTAGGTGGCCCTGGGCTGTGGGCTGTGGCATGTTTCCTTTACTCCTGGCTGGAACTTTGCAATGCAACCTCATCACTAGATGCAACCGGAGCGCGTCTGTGGCTGGAGACCCGGAAGTCTGGAGAGCGCAGGGCCACCCTCTCTCTTTCACCTTCAGGCTGCACGTCTTCAGGTCTGCAGGTGCCATGCAATCTTCCCAGGACACCCCTGCACACCTCCCTTGACATGGCATGGAGCAGAACTCACCATCCCCACCCTGGCCCCCAGCCCATGCAGGCCTGCCGGCCACCCGATAGGCCGCAGACTGGGGGTGAGCTGGCCCGGTCCCAGCCCCGCCCATCCTCCTTCCTAGTCACCTCTGGACTCTGCACCCCCTATCCCTGCCCTCCAGGGCTCAGGCTGCCTGGTCCCTCACTTGACCCACTGCCCAGGCTCTCTGGGGTAACCCACCCTCCGTGGGGAAGCCATTGGCAGTTTCTAAAGCACAAATCTGACCATGGCCATGTGCCCCCCTTCCCTCAGCACGAGGTCCACTGGCCTGGCTTCACCTCTCTCCTTCCACCTCCCACACCTGTCACTCTGCCCACCGAATGTTGGTGAAGCAGATTTAGACTCCTGGGGACCATTGTACTGACCGTTGCAGCCACGTGCATCCTGGGACAGGTGTCCTTTGCCTTCATGGTGGGTGGGAACGGACTCGTCGCCCCATCAGGACCGCCTCTTTGGTGACAGCCCTTGGCCTTTGCATCACCCATAAAGAAGAGGCACCTTGGGCAGGGCCAGCCAGGTGGCTGTAAACGTTAAAGAAATGGTTGCTGGAGCCTGACAGAGCCTGCCTGCCACTCCCTCTCACCCGCCCTCCCGACTTCCTCTTCCTCTGGGCCTGGAGCCCCGAGCCAGCGCTGCTCCCTGGCCTCCTCGGAGCTCTCTGATGCGGTCACTAAAGCGGAGCTCGTCATTCCTGGTGGATGTGGCCGTGGAGGAGGCGCGAGGAGCTGCTTGCACACTGTTGGCATTCGCTGTTTGTCCTCTTCCTTCGCCTTTGGCTCCAAGTGAGCACTCCCAGGACGACCGTGTGCCCCCAGGTGTGCTGCACAGGTGTGTGTCCCAACGCCGCCCTCTGCACAGGTGTGCTGCCTCTACAGCCGGCACCCACGTGGCTGTCAGGCCCCTCCTGCTGCACGGATGCCTCAGGAGACCCCCTCGTGCCCATTCCGCGTGCGCGGTTGGCTCAGACCCGTCTCCCACTCCCGCCGGGCTGGGAGCTCTCTGGGAGAGGAGCGGCCACCTGCCTCTGTGTCTTGGCGGCCTAGCACCAGCCTCGTCTGAGAGCAGCTTTTCAGAAACGCTGATGTGACAGCGACAATAGCACTTAATCCTCGCACGGCGATCGCTCTGCACCGGGCGTTGTTGTCAGTGCTTCTCGCACATCAACTCAGTCTGCTGTAAATGTCCGTTTTGGGGCCATCCGTGACAGAGAAATCCACAAAATATTCGGCGACGCAGATCAGACTTTGATTGAGCCGGGATCCTTTTCCTTTGCGCGGTGTCTCTTCAGCGGTGGAAACACTACCGTTTTCTTCAACTGCTGGTTCCTTCATTTACTTATGCGGGAAATTTACTGATCACCGACTGTGTCAGAGGTGTGCGGCCCCACAGCAAAGCAGACGGCCAGACGCTGCCCACAGGAGCAGCGGGGCTGGCGATGCAGCCACGGAGGCGGGCGCCCAGCAGGCGCCCTGCCGGTGAACGAGCCTCTGTAAACTGCGGACAGGCAGTGGAGGACTCCGGGCTCTGGCTGTGGCAGGGTAGAAAGCAGAACAACCCTCCGTGGAGCACATGGGGAGGACGTCCCCAGGCACAGGAGATGAGCACGCTGTGCTGCGTTGTCACCCTCTTTGCCATCGAGAACTTGGAAGGTCCAGCGGACACTCCCTTGGACGAGGTGTTGGAGGAAGTTCATTGGTGCAGGCTTCATTCTTGGAAAGCTCTGTGGTGGCTGCCTTTTGCAAGTCAGAGCTGAGAAGGGGATCTGTCACCACTGAGACTAGGTCCCTGGGGAAAATGGGACTCTGGAGCAGGAGAATCCAGATAGCAGCTCCCCATTTCCAG